ATTTCACCTTATTACGGGGCAATCCGCTGGGGTGAAACTGTCTCACGTTAGCAGAACAGGCCAGGAAGCCAAACAGGCTAAAACAGAACGGGAAATAGTTTCCTRGCGTTCAGGCACATATTGGCTACCCAAGGCACACTGTGCTCGGGAACAAAAAGAGGACCCAAGATGCTGTCTGGTCACCTGTACAGGCCAAAAGCAAAGGGCAGGGCTGAGGGGTGGAACGCATGTCCAGACTGAGGGAAGAGACTCCGGATTCTCAGCGAACCACCYTGACTGAGGTGGGAATCCTCCTGGCCAGCAGATAGGACATCTTTCAGACCAGCTGGAAGTGGGCGTAACAGTGACCGCCCCCCCCACCAGCAGCTCTCCACAGACATTTGTTAAATAAAGGAATTCCTTGGGTGGAGCTGGTTTAACGTCCATAAATCTGGTTTCTTTCCCTCGCCTTTCTAGACTCTAGACAAACTGGGAAACCTTGTCCTTTGGGGGAGACGCTGTTCACTGGATCACAGCTTTTCTGATAGTTGCTGTGTTTTATTCTCCCGGGTGGAGGCCTGGTGATGAACTGTGGGAAATACCCTGTTCTCCTCGTGATGTTTACAGCTCTTCCCGCCTCCCGTCCCTGCCACCSGCTGCCGTCCAGGTCATTGGCATTCCCCTGAGCGCCTCAAACATAACAATGGTGACTTGGGCCCTGGGTGGCTCAGGGTTGGCCTCTGTCTACTGTCTGGGGCGTCTTGCAGGTCACCCTCCATGGATAGAGTTTGAGAGCACATCTTCCTTAGGAAAGGTGATTATTGTTTTCATAGGTTTTTGTTTTGTTTTATTTTAAAACTGTATTAAAAGGCTGGGGGTGTAGCTTGGTGGTAGAGTACTTGCATGACCACCACCACCAACAACGACAACCAGTAACAACAGAAAAACTGCATTCGATTTTTCATTGTCTTAACAATTTCAGTTTTCTGCTTCTCAAACAACAAAGCCAACCAGCTGGCCAAGGCTGCACGCCTCCCAGTGGACAGGGCTTGATTCACCTCCAAGGACACACCCATCTCCTTGGAGTCATTCTTGAGGCAAGACACTCAGCCAAAGAAAATGAGGACCAACCCATTGTCCTCTTGTTGCCAAAGCTCAAGAAAGCTCACCATCCCTTGGCTGGCTGTGAACAGGCTGGGTGATGGGTGCTGGGCTCAGGCACCTGGGGAAGAAGCAGCTACTTCCATCTCCTGCCTTGGGTGAACCGGGTAGGACTGCAGCTGTTCCCTCACCTATCTCATAGCCTCTGGATAAAATGCCAATCAGTTTCCTTTCTCAGAAAGCTTCAAGAAATCAGTTGAAGTGCCAGGCCGGTGGCGCACACTCTAGAGGCTCTAGAGGCTGAGGCAGGAGGATGGGGAGTTCAAAGCAGCCTCAACAACAGCGAGGCTCCAAGCAACTCAGTGARACCCTGTCTCTAAATAAAATACAAAATAGGGCTGGGGATGTGGCTCAGTGGTTGAGTGCCTCTGAGTTCAATCCCCAGTACCATAAAAAAAAAAAAATCAGTAGAAGGGTTGCAGATGTAATCTCTGGCCTAGCAAACATGAGGCCCTGGGGTCCATTCTCAGCATCAAAAGAAAAAAAAAAAAAGACATCAATAGAGAAAGGGTTCAAAACTCTAATCAAGGGGAGCTTTATCTTCTGCCCACCCAGCAGAATCCTGATAAATCTCAGTAACTGTACACTTGGCTTTAGAAGGACCCCGGCACCCCTAACCATCTGATGCTCTTCCAAGTAAAGGCTCATGCTGTCTGTTTCCTTGAGAGGGTCCGGGTAGCAGGAATGGCAAGGCTTCGGTGGAGAGGAAGGGGCCTCTGGCAGACTCASTAGGTGAGCTTCACAAGCACAGCACAGTGTCCTTGAGTTCCCGCTCCCCTCCCTCCCGGCACTCCCCTGCAATACTTTCACAAGTTGTAACCTGGCTGCCTGGCTCTCCAAAGCCAGAAATATGTCAAATATTCAGATAAGCCAGTGGAATTCAGAGCGCAGGTCTGTGACTTCGTGAAGACTGCAAAGCACGCTGTGGGCTAGTGTCTCCTCCCCAAAGCAGCAGAGTTCAAATCCTGCACCCAGCAATGTACCCCTGTGCAGAGTGAATTCAAGAATTCCACTCATAAAGRGAGAGCGTGGTAGGCAATGTACAGTTATTATATCCTTAGAAAATTTTTGCTTTCATGTTTAAGAGGCTTAAGGTGAGGCTCATTTTTAGTTTCAAGTTCAACTTTTTTTTTTTTTTGTAATGGCAGAGTAGTGTTGTAAAAAGAGCTTGAGGTTTGGCCTCAGACCCATTTCTGAATTCCCAATTCTGGCGTATTCTGAGGTAATGTACAGTTTACAGGAGTTGTAACGGATTAAATGAGGTAGTTGGTGACGTTCCTAGCACATGACAGGGGATGGAAATGCAGGGCAGGCCATACCCTTCCTGCTGATCAGCTATCCTCCCTTAAGGTTGGAGGTCTTTATAATTCCCTAGGACAGTCACTCTCAGGCTGCTCATTCACAGCGGTGGAGAAAGGGAGTTAGTCCTCTTGGCCATGTCTGTACTTAGCCTTCTCCTGTCTGGACACATTTTTTTAAACATGTGGTTTTTTATATTAGATGCTACTAGAGTCTTGTACTCCCCTGTTATGCACAGGACTTCCTCCTGAAGTCTCAAAGAGACCCGACCTTTATTAAATACCTCAAGTGCAACAAAAATCCTTAGCAGCTCACAAAGATTTCAGGGCCTCCAAAACTGGCAAGAAGTTCRGGGAAATCACAGGGAAATCCATTCGCTGCATGATTAATCCTGGGTGAGTTGGTCCCGGAAAAGCACACATGGGTTGGCAGCAAGCAACGGCTTGCAGAATTTCACAAAACAAACTGTCTTACGGACAGGCCCCCAAGTACGTGTTTTGGACCAAAGTTCAGAGTGAGGGTGGGGCCGGACAATTGAGGAAAACGCCAGATGTGTGGACAACCGTCTTCTTTTGAATCCACAAACGCCCCAAGAGATGACACATGGGACCAGATTATAAAACTGAACCAGATTATAGCACTGGATGGGAGAAACCCAGTCGGGCCCAGGACCCTAAGAGAAGGATAATAACATTCATCACCATAATTGCCCCCAGCCCAGCTCCCCAACAATAGCTCAGCTCAATGAAGTTAGTCATCCATATTCAAGTCGCCTCACTCATTATTCCCAGACAAAAACCCTGCTGGGCCTCAGCTCCTGCCCAGTGCAGCTTCCACACTCAGCCACCCCCACCCCTCCCCAGGCTGCCCACCCCAGTGGGGCTTCTTTCTTTCTTTTTTTCTCCAGTCCTGGGGACGGAACCCAGGGCCCCACGCACATTAGGCAAGTGCTCTACAACGGACGCCATCACATCCCAGCCCSGGCTGGCCTTGATTCTTTATCAGTGGACTTTCTAGTTATTTTTTCAAACAAGATTGCGCACCTCCTGCTAGGAGTACTTTTGATGTTTAGGAACTGGCTGGACATGATTACAACTAACCCTAGCCCTGGGGGAAACAAAGGACCAGGAAGCCTAGGCCTGTGTTTCCTGGGATGCTAGGATGTGTGGCTCAGGTAGGTTCCTCCCTCACCTTGTTCTGCCCWGTACAAAATGTTGTCATGTGCACATTGTCTGGCCAAAACGGAAAYGAAATAAAGAACTGTATATATTCCAGTGGAAAGAGAAGTTCCAAAGATAGGACAACCGTGAATAGCTCATGGCCCCTGTAAACAGAGTGGTTCAGTCTCTTTGAAGCAGACACCCCGGCACAGAGCACTCTGTATAATTTCCCTAAGTCTAGGGGTTCTTGTCTGCCCTGGAATTATAGAAATGCAGGCTGGGCACCCTGGAGACCACACCCTCTCCAAGAAAGACTCTCCTGGGGCTAGGCCTACCTAGATCTTCAATATGGAAAACCTTCAGCAACCTCCAGCCTCAAAGATCAATAGCTTGCTTACAATTCCTTCAGCCAATATTTGGTGAGCAACTATTATTATCAGACATTGTCCAGACCCTGGGGAGCAAACCTAGATGCATTGGAGTCCTCTGGAGCTTATATACCATCAGGGAAACAGACAAAAATCCCAGAAAAGAAGTAAAATACTGACAGGTGTTCATGGAGATCAGCACACAGTACACTAGGAAGAAGGGGGCAAGAGATAAAGAGGGGGCAAGAAGAGGACACAGGGGAGGGGAACGTGTGGATGGTGGTCTGGTCATCAGACTGAGTCCACTTAAAGTCCAAGGAGTCACAGACGGGAATTCTGTCATTGACATTTTGGGCCCGTTCAATATATGGCCCCCAAACCCACTTAAACCTCAATGCTTGTAACAGTGCTCCAGGGCTGGGGTGTAGCTCAGAGGCAGAGCACTTGCTTAGCTTGCTCCAGGCCCTGGACTGGGTCCCAGCACCGCAGAAAGAGAAAGCAGAACAACCCTCTTCCATTCACCACTCTGCTCAACCCCCCCCCACGCCCCCCAACACACAGTACCTTCCCTTAAGAGGTGAGGCCTCTTCCAGTCTGTACCCAAGAAGGTGCTGGCACACAGGGGAGACCTAGGCCACCGCAGCGGGGACACTCTCCCAGGACCAGCCCTCCTGATTGGGATCCTGGGGAAAGCCCAGGGGCTCTAACCTAGGCAGAAGCCCCTGGCTGCCATCTTCTGTGAGCTTATGTCTTGTGAGCTGACCCTTTGGGGGACCACTTCTGCCCCCAGCCTGGCCGCCTGTGGATTCCGGGGCGCCTCCTGCCACACCCACTCCGCTGTTTCTTTGGGACTTGTCCCCAGCTAAGCTGCTCGTGGGCTCTTCTCCTCCGGGATGCGGGGCCCGGACTCGCGTGCAAGCGCACCCCCGCGCTCCCCCGGGCCACCTCAGACCCCAGGCCCGGTATTCCAGCAAGTCTCCGCTCGCGAGTCCCCCACCAGCAACTGCTGGCGGCCACGGTCGCTGGCGCTTACCTCCCTGCGCCGGGACCCAGAGCCACGCGCTCCCCAAAACCAAGAGCAGCACGGGAGCCGTCCACATCTTCCCCGCAGACTCGTCCTCCTGGTGGCCGCCTGAGGTGTCCGTGCTGGGCAGATGGAGAGGCAGCAGCCTGGGCCCAGCCTGGAGGAGCGCGAGCCTGGGGTGGCCGAGTTCCCGGGCCGCYGCAGCACCGAGCGCAAACTTCGCAGCTGGCAACTTGGGAGCCGAGTCAGCGTTTATCTTTCCCGACGAGGGCGGGGAGCGGGTGGGCGTCAGGTGGTCCCGGCCCCCGCGCACTGGGACCGCCCTCGGGCTCTGTTTGGCTAGCGCCAAAAYGATGATCTCAGGCCAGGTTTAAAGTTACAGGGCCGCAGCTGCGGGGACCCAGCCCTGGCAAAATGGGCTTTTTTATTCTGTTCAAGGACCAGAGGGAAAGGCGCCGCGTGCAATAAACGGTTTTGCTTTTTAATTTTTTTTAAAAATTGCTCTATTTATTATTCTGTTTTTAAGAGGAAAGCACACGCCTACATTTTTCTTGTCATGGGCTGAAGGGAGAAGCAAACTGATCCTTGGGTGGTCAGGAGTTTTAGAACCAAGCATGGAATTGTTCTTTTGTAAATATTGAATTTGATGGCTTAAAAAAAAAATGGCCGTCATCTGGGTGGGCGAGAGGCAGCTCACGCCGGTCAATTGCACCCTTGTCCACCCGACCAGGACGGGCGGGCTCAGCTGGCTGGAGGGGAGCATGGCTTATTTTGGTGGCTTTGGCAATTTTGAAGAAGAGCGAGCTTCAGCTGTCCCCACCACCCCCAAATCCGTAGCTGCAGACTGGCCAGTGAGCAGTCAGATCCGGCCTGGACAGGTGGTCACTCACCTGTGTCTGCTAACAGCTTGGGCTCATCCCTTTTAATCCCACACTTTGGCCCCTTTATCTTCACTTTATTGGTTTAAGCAATCTTTCCTTGATCTCAAGCACTCAGTATGGGCAACAAGAAAAGAACTGTCAATTGTCGGAATTTTTTTTTCTTTTTTTTGAAGAATTGGATTTGGGGAGGTGATCTCTGTGACCAGTCGCCACAAAATTCCATTCAACAAAACAGAAGATTAGCGCCCCCCTTCCTCAAGCACCACACCAGGGGTACAGTGAGTTGTTTCCAGATCTTCATCTTTGATTCCCCCTCATTCTAAATTTATCTTGTCCTAAGCATCACACCAGGGAGATTGTTTTAAATGCTCAGATTTCTGGGTTCCAAACGAAGCTCATTAAGTCAGACCATTGGGGGAATTTCTAGTTTAAACCAGCATCCCAGGGAGAACATATCCAGGGGAACAGTTGGAAAACCCTACCAATCACTGGGGGCTGGTTGCCACACTTKCAGGTGCAGGAGAGTCTCATCCTGGGGCTACAAGATAGGAACTGAGTTCCTGAAGCATGGAGAAACCTGGAGGGGGAAAGATACTCTTTCTGATCTGAGCCCCCTTGATGATACTTTATTATTATTTCTCCCACATGAATACTATTTGTGGAGCGATGCCTGGGGCTAGATTCTGGTTCCAGGAAACCCAGACCCTAACCCTTCTCCCAGTGATRTGTCCAGATTCTAGAAGGTTCATTCCATGACTTTGTGGGAAAGGTTGAAGGAGGGGGAGATAATAGGGAGTAGGGTCCTGTTGGAGGCACTGGAGACGGGGAGAGGGTCCAAGACAAAGGGAGTTCTGTGCACAGGTTCTGGGCACTCTGGGTCTGAGTAGCTGGTGAGCATGACTGGGCCTAGGAGGGGCTGCTGAGAGACCTGTGGGCAGAAGTTACCATCCTCAACAGTGGAAACTCCAGGTTGAAAGAGGGAATGCTGGCCTTGGGCAGAGGAGAGACTCAGGGTCAGCTAGAGTGGAAGCCATGGAGCCTGAGACTCAGCCCAGCTGGAGGGACAAAGGAAAGGAGGGCAAGTGCCAGAAGAGTCCCCCACTCTTGTGAAACAGCATATGGACTGTGAATAAGGATGAGGCAGAGATGGAACAGTGACTTTCGGGTGAGACAAGAGTCACAGCCACCCCCACTCAATGGCTTTGCCTGCTCCTGGGGATTTGCACTATCTCATTCATTCTTCAGAACAACCTTTGATCTAGGAACAACCTTTGATCTAGGAGTTTGCTTTAGAGCTGACTCACCTGGAGGGCTTGAGGACTCAGGTTGCAGGACCCCACTCCCCAAATGCTCACTTATTTGGTCTGGAGAATCTTCATTTCTAACAACTTCCCAGGTGCTGCTGCTCCTGGTGCTGGCCCTGGGGCTCCACTTTGAGAAGCACTGTTCAGAGGACATCAAAATTGTCCAGAGTCCTACAGCCAGTGAGTGATAGAGCCACAGAGTGACCCTCTCCTGCAAATCAGGACAGGAGATGCTACGGACGTTGTGCCTTGATTAAGGATTTGGTAGGAGAGTTCTGTAAATTGCTTTCAGGGAGCAGGAAAGCCCCCAGAGAGCAGGAAACTAAGTTGTGTAATGAGAAGGAACCAGGCCTGAACATTCAGTGTGGGCCCTTGCACCTGCGGGGTGCTAGAGATTGAGGCTGGGGTCTCTCCCTGCCTTCTCTGTGGCGTCTGTACATCCAGAGAAAAGTTGACTGAGCTTCTTCAGATTGTCCGAGGAGACAGTGCTTCGGGGCTGAAGCACCCCGACCTGAACCTCCCAGGGCAAGGGCAGTTCTGTAACATGAATTAACCATGCACTTGGGGTACAGGCTGGGGCCTAAACCTATAGGGCAGGAATGAGATGAGGCTGTGGGTGGTGGGAGGTGCTGGGACTGAAGGAACTTGTTCTGATGGAAAGAGACCAAGTGTCTGGGAATTGAAATCAGTGCTGTGTGGCCTCAGGCAACATGAACCTTGGTTTTTGCTTCTTTAAACTGTGGGAGTGTCTTTCCACCTGTAAGGGTTCCTCAGGCTGTGAGGAGCACAACTTCATGCTTGCTCCTGCCTGGTTCTCGGAGTCTTTGCTCCTCTGGCACACAGCTGCATATTCAGCCAGCCCTATGTCTCCTGCAGAAGTTCTTAAAATGAATCCAATAGACAGGTTTCTTTCAAGTTTAGGAAACCCAGCTCACCATCAGATCACCCTCTTTGCTAGTGAAACCCTCACCTCAGGCCTTATATCTAARTTGCCCTTGATCCTGCCTGACCCCTGGGACCCAGAACCCTTCTGGGAAACTGGATTACCTCCCCACTGCACTCAGGAACCAGCATCCTGCACCATTACCCCAACCTGGAGTCTGGCTCCTGCCTTTCCATGAACAGGGGACTGGCTTGGCTTTCTGGCCCACTGAGCTCCTCTGGAGCACCCTRCTGCTCTTTGGATGCTGACCTTCCCTGCTACTGTCAGAGTCATGCTATATCCAGTATTTGACCTGCCTTCTAGTGGACTGCATGCAATTTGACTTGCATTTGAAAAGATAGATACCACTTGTCTTTCAGCACAGAGTTAAATAAGTATGGTGGTCAGTCCTTGAGTCTGTGGAGGACAGACTCTAGGATACCARCCCCCGGGGTATGGACCTCTGTGGATGCTCAAGTTCTTTATGTAAAGTGGTGTCATGTTTGTAGTTTAAATCATCTCTAGATTACTTGCAATACCTACTACAGTGCACATGATATGCACATAACTGTTACATGATATTGTTTAGAGAGCCATGGCAAGGCAAATTTTCTAGTGTGTTCAGAATAGATGCAAAGCCTTTTTTCCAAATATTTTCAATCTGTAGTTGGTTAAGCCTGTGGATACAGAGGGCTTACTATATATGTTATAGACCATATTAAATATGTTTAATATGTAGACCATATTAAACACTCCATAAAAAGGAATCCCAGGAAGAATGGCTGTAACTGGAAAAAATGTTTCATGAYATGATTTGATAAGATTAACCATGAAAAAATTTACATAAAATTTTGTCTGTGAATTTTAACCCATATATCTTGACATTTTTTAAAAAAGTTTTTTTATTTTGGACTGGGGACAGCACTTGCCTAACATGTGCAAGGCCCTGAGTTTCATCCCCAGCATAGCAAAAAAAAAGAAAGAAAGAAAAAAAGTTTCAACTTTTATTTATTTATTTGTGTGGTCCTGGGGATTAAACTCAGGGGCCCTCTACTGAATGTCTACAGACATTCCCAGCCCTTTTAGTTAGTTAATTATTTGTTTGTTTGTCATGATTTTATTTATTTTTTTTAGAGGAAGAATGGTTGATTCAGGCTCATGGTTCCAGAGGCTTAGTCCATAATTGGCTGACTCCATAGCTCTGGGCCAAGATGAGACAGAGCATCATGGTGGAAGACCCGCAGAGGAGAGCAGCTCAGGACATTCCAGTCATGAAGCAGAGAAAGAAAACTGCTCACCTCACTGGGGACAAAGCACAAACCCAAAGACACACCCCCAGCGACCTGCTTCCTCTAGCCACACCTTACCTTCCTACACTATTGTCCAGTTAATCCACATCACTGGATTAATCCACTGATTATGTTAGAGTTCTCATATCCTACTCATTTCACCTCTGGGCAATTTTTTTTTTTTGCTTTAAATATTTATTTTTTAGTTGTAGTTGGACACAATACCTTTATTTTATTTATTTATTTTTATGGGCCTTGCACGTGCTAGGTGAGTGCTCTACCGCTGAGCCACAACCCCAGTCCTCACCTCTGGACATACTTGCATTGTCTTACACAGGAGTTATTGGGGGGACATCTCTTATCTAAATTATAATGTTCTGCACCTGACCCCCAAAAGCTCATGCCCATCTCACAATGCAAAATAAATACAGTTCATTTCCAAGAGTCCMCGTGGTCTTAACTGTTTCAGTACTGCCAAAAGCCCACGTCCAAAACCTCATCTGAGACTCAAGACAACCAAAACGATCAAAAACAAGCCACATATATCCAATATGTCATGGCACAGAGTAAATATTTCCATTCCACAAGGGACAAATAGGGCACATTTCTCGATTTCCAACCCTTCTTTCTGTGCCCTGTTTCTCCCTTATGTGCTTCTGAGCTCCCACCAGAATCRCCCACTAAACTCCACTTTCAACATCCTAAAGCTTTTCCATCGGACTCAACTTTCCTATGTACACATAGAAACACACCACAGTGAATCTCCACTTCATGTACAACCCAAGAAGCACGCTTTCAACCCAGAAAATGCTCCATAATAAGATCAGAATGGACAGGACTCTGCCTTTCCTCT